GGATGCAGTGTTCATTTTTCATTTTTTTCTGACTCTCAAATGTTAAGATTAGTTAAATTGACAGAAATAAATATTGTGATTTCATGTTTAACCCAGGAGAGACTAGACAGATGAATGAGTATGTAGTGGCTCGTTCATTGAAGAGGTAAGATAAGAAGAGAGGCTGAGGAGGCTGATGAATTTGCTGCCGTAGAGTTTCATAACATATTTGCATTTTTTTCCTTGTGAAAACCTGCAGACGTGTGAACAATCAAAGAAATCAGATTAAAAAAAAAAAAGTTGTTCAATGCACCTTTAACTAAGAGTGCTTCGTTGAATTTATTTTGAAGTTTTGTTGTAGAAATTTGTTAAAGATTTGGATATAAGTCAAGAATGCAGTGTTCTTTTTTTTTGTTTTGGAACTGACTCTCAAATGTGAAGACTGGTTAAATTGGCAGAAATAAATATTGTGATTTTAAATAGGAGAGACTAGACAGATGAATGAGGGCAACAAGAAGAGAGGCTGAGGAGGCTGATGGATTTGCTGCTGCAGTAGAGACTCATAACATTTTTGCATATTTTTCTTTGTGAACAATCAGAGAATTCAGATTACTCACATGAACACGACAGATTACATGACATTTCAATAATCTGATAATTCCAGAAATCAGATCATGATCAGATCTTTGGTGAGTATGTAAATATGTACAACCACGGATACCATTTCAAGTATAGACAACCTATTTTTTTTCTTTTTTTGGTGAGAATTGTTCAAACCTAAATTAAAAATAAGCAAGTTAAAGCCAATATTTTAGCTTTAAGGTTTGAATGTCATTTTAATTTAACACGAGACACAGTAAATGTTTAGTTGTAGAAGATTCAAAAGCTTATACCTAAAAGCAGTTTCGAATCATTGCCAATTGCAACAAGGAACATTCCAGGCAAAGCAATAACATCTCCATGGAGACAAGCAGTTAAAAAAAAGTTGCGCAATGCACCTTTAACTAAGAGTGCTTCGTTGGATTTATTTTGAAGTTTTGTTGCGGAAATTTGTTAAAAGTTAGAATATAAGTCAAAGATGCAGTGTTCTTTTTTCAATTTTTTCTGACTCTCAAATGCAAAGATGAGTTAAATTGACTTAAATAAATATTGTATATTGTAAATATTTCAGCCAGGAGAGACTAGAAAGATGAATGAGGGTGTAGTGGGGAAGTTTGTTGAAGAGGTAGTGGCTGTAATAAGAAGAGAGGCTGAGGAGGCTGATGGATTTGCTGCTGCAGAAGAGTTTCATAAGATTTTTTTCATAATATTTTTCTTTGTGAAAACCTGCAGAGGTGTGAACAATCAAAGAAATCAAAAAAAGTTGTTCAATGCACCTTTAACTAAGAGGGCTTCGTTGAATTTATTTTGAAGTTTTGTTGTAGAAATGTGTTAAAGATTTGGATATAAGTCAAGAATGCAGTGTTCTTTTTTTTGTTTTGGAACTGACTCTCAAATGTGAAGACTGGTTAAATTGGCAGAAATAAATATTGTGATTTCATATTTTAAATAGGAGAGACTAGACAGATGAATGAGGGCAACAAGAAGAGAGGCTGAGGCGGCTGAGGGGTTTGCTGCTGCAGTAGAGATTCGTAACACTTTTGCATATTTTTCCTTGTGAAAACCTGCAGAGGTGTGAACGATCAGAGAAGATTGCTTGACATTTCAATAATCTGATAATTCCAGAAATCAGATCATGATCAGATCTTTGGGGAGTATGTAAATATGTACAGCCACGGATACCATTTCAAGTATAAACAACCTTTTTTTGTGTGAGAATTGTTCAAACCTAAATAAAAATAAGCAAGTTAAGGCCAATATTTTAGCTTTAAGGTTTGAATGTCATTTTAATTTAACACTAGACACAGTAAATGATCCAAAAGCTTATACCTAAAAGCAGTTTCGAATCATTGCCAATTGCAACCAGTGCCTTACGAGGTCTTACGAAAATAAGCCTACTTTTTGAAATTGAGTTTCTGAACACCATCCTTTGCACTAATCCCTGGATCCTTCCCTCTTTTGCAGATACTAGGCAGACATCATAACAGAGCCTATTTCGGTCCCTGGCTCGGTTTCCCTCCCAGTTTGAGCCGTGTCACTGTACAACACAAAAAGACAACTTTGAATTAGGACATAAATCCAACAAAACGGCAGGATGGTGCGTGGGTATAAAAAAAAAAAAAAAAGTCAATGTCTCGGTGGTAGTAGAGGCGAGACCTCCGGTGCATCACACAGATTGTTCTTGACCTATGACCGAATAAAACCTCCAACCAGCACGCTTTAATTCTCCTCTCTCGCCACAGACAAGCCCTAACCATCTCCAGCTCCCCCGTATCTTAGGCGCACTCCTCCTGTCACCTTGCTCTACATAATGAGGAAAAACAACCGTTCTCCTCTTTACTTCACCGGGTCCATAAATTCTCCTCTGCACTACAGTGGATTCTTTGCTCTCTGGGCGCTTAACAAACCACACAGGAGGGGAAAAAAACAGACTTGCGACGCGTTTTGCTTGATAAAAACGCAAGACGAGTTACTTTGCTCGGTGAAATTCTTCTTTAGTTGGCGGTAAGAGGTCGCGTACTGCACCGGTTTTGTTTGGAGACACGCTTGCTGTTTGCTTTACCTGCAGTGTGGCGCGCAAAAAAAAACCCGCCACGCAATTTAGGAACTGTATTTAAAATGTTTGGGAGTTGAAATAGTGCGATGGTTTTTTTCCTGCGACGCGTCGTCAAGGCGCAAACGCAACGCACATCGATCTCACGGACTGTACGCGAAAGTAAACCGCAAAACAAAAGTGCAATCCCGCAAGACGTACGGCTCCTCAACGCGTGCCGTTTTAATGAACTCTCCAATCTGCGTTGGTCACGTCACGTTCAGAGCATCAGACGTTCCTTACCTGCTTTTCTAGTAACAGGTGGCGATGGTTTACGGGGTTTCAGTTGATTATTCTCAAGCGTGGCGATGTTGGTTTCCTCACAGTCAGGGCATGGAACGCTGGCTAAAACATCTCTGCGAATTCACAATGTATCCCTTGTGGTAGGAGCTTCGCCCACATCGCATCCTGGTCCACAACGTGTGAAAATAAAGCTTAGTATAGCAGCACACGCAAGCTGGAAATCAGTGGACTTGCAGAAGGGAAGATGTCCATAATCCTTACGAATACGCATGGTTCTAAACTGCCGACATTGCCTGGCTTTGGGTCCGGTTTCCCCCCCTCCTCCTCGCTCGCTGCTGGCTCGTAACGTCTCTCCTCTCCTCTCCTGGTTCCTCGCTTCTTTGGCACGCTCCCCTTCTCTCTCTCTCCCTCTCTCTTTCTCTCCTCTCTGCCAAAATGACTGAAGCTGGAAATCACATGCGGTTGCTGCTTTAACGCGAGCGTCAATCGGTTACGTTTACCCAAGGCTCCCGCGCGCAACTCCGCTTCTATAAATACTGCATGATACTACTTCGAGGGTTTTCAAGGAATTCGTAGTCTCACACTAGGACGTGCGCTAAAGAAAGAAAAATGCATCTTGAGTCCTCCAAACAGCGCATCCGTAACAGTTTCTGCTGCAGGGGGGGAGAGTGACAGGCAGATTGTGGAAGTGAGAGTTTTGGAAACGTTGAAGGCAACAATATGAAGAGAAATAACGTGGTTTTGACCTAGTGGGATCAGGAAAAGTTATGGCTTCAGCTACACCAATATATTGACTTTTAGGGCCTGTTTACACGAGAACGCTTGCGGGTAAAAACGACAAAATATTTTATTGGAAGTGTGTTTTTGTTTAGACCAGGGGTGTCAAACTCAAATTCACAGAGGGCCAAACTAAATATTTAATGAAAATTTTCAGCAACATCTGCGTGTTTTTTCTTCTTTTGAGATATGTAAGGTTAGGGGTGTGCAAAAATATCAATATACGATATTGTATCGTTTAATGTGATGATACAGTATCGATATCATGGGCTGCTGTATCGATATATCACCAAGAGGATTTTTAGGTGTGTTTTACTAAATTATTTTGTTACAGTGCTACAGTTTTGTTGCTTGTGGAGTGAAAGGAAACTCATTTATGCGACACATTTGACATTTTGACACTGTTTTGATGATTAAAATGTTTGTGTTTCATATGAACTTTGCACAAGAAGTAGCTTAACAAAGACTTTTAGTATCACAGCCATGATTTAGCCTTTAGTTTTTATTGAACTGCATTGAATCGATTTGAAATATATCATATCGAATCGAGAGTGCACTGTATCATATCGTGTATCGAGGTATGTATCGTATCGGCAACTTCTTAATGATACCCAGCCCTATGTAATGTTAAACCTTTTCTTATTAAAATAAATGTTTAATAATAGTTTTGCTTAAACACTGAATCCAGAAAAAGCATAATATAAAATAATAACATTTTAAATAAAAAATGTCTCTCTAGCCTATCTGTAGCCGGTGGGCCAGCTTTTATACATATCTGATGTGATCTCGGGGGCCAAATATAATTATAACGTGGCCCAAATTTGGCCCCTGCGCCTGAGTTTGACATGCGTGGTTTAGATGGTGGCAGCGTTTTTGGGGCTTAGAAACGCAAAAATCTGAAACCATCCTCCAGAGTGGAAAAGTTGATTACGCTCCACGACGCAAAACTCTGGTCAGATCTGTTCACTTCGCGTATGCGTTTACATACATCACCACTGGCCGCGTGGCATGCATACCCAGTCAAATTCCACACACTGTTGCGTCACCGTATGCACGCAGATTTCAGCCCAAAAATGCTCGTCTAAACGCGGATTAAAAAGTGAAGATGCTACGGCACTTTTGTGTCTTATGTTCAGACTGTCATCATATAAACGTAGCCTTAAAGATGCATTGGAAGGTGCATGTAACTTTTTTGGTAGAGTGTTCGCTACATACAAATGTTGTTAGTCTGTCCACATCTCCAAAGCTCAAAATGCTCAGTTCCACCTTGTGACATCATGTAGTGATAGTTTTCAAGTTGTGGACATACCAGCTTATTAAAGGCTGATCTCGTCAGACTTGAGAAGCTCAGCAGGGCCGGGCCTGGGTCGTATCTGGATGGGAAACCACTAGAAACTCCAGGTGCCACAGTGGGGCGCCAGTGGCAAAAACTGCCACCTACACCTACAAAGCCTAGTAAGATAGTAGAGTGTGCGTGAGTGATGGTGGTGGTTGGAGGTGGGTGATGGCACAGATAGGCAGCCTTGCTTCTGTCAGCTTCTCCTGGAGGCAGCCTAAACAGAGGATCTTAAGAAAGAGACTTGGAGAGTTAGAAAAAGTCTCTTTATTAGTTCAGGCAGATTCAGATCTCAAGATTCAAGTTGATTCAGCATGATTTTGCCTACGCGGCGTCTCTCTGTGCGTCGGTCGTCTCTCGACAACGCGGTCGGCGTTCCCCCACTGATGCACAGAAAAACTGGGTGCCTTTTATACCAGCATAACTGTTGAGTTAACATCTTCATGGAAAAATACACAGCAGTTTGTCCCAACACGTGTCCCATAACAGACTGGCCGATGCTAAAGGTTGGAGATACACCCCTTATCTGTCCCATATACATTCACCATTGACATCATATCCCAACCCCATTGACACTCCAAAGTCCAAAAACATACACAACATGTCAAGGAACACAGAGATTAATTACAGGGCGTATTAACATATGAATGAAACTTTAAAAACACAGGGTAGAAGCCCACACTTCCTTCAGTCTGCCCTAGAGCAGCTGTGGCTAGTGACTGAACAATGAACTTAAAGTGCTTTGGTTGTCCTGAAAGACGCTATATAAATGCAGTGATGATTATAAGTTAACTGCTAAATCTGACCTTTATTTCAAAAGAGATTGACAGTTACAGAGTTGAAATCATCCAAATGATTGTAATGAACATGTATTGGGTTTAAAAACACAGTGGAGCACTTCCTGTATTAAATCACTAGGTGGTATAGAGTGTTTTCTGTTCGAGAGAAGAAGCCAGCCTAAATCTGCAAATATATTTTTGGTGACGAAACAATATTATAACATAGATCAGAAATGAAATGTAATATGAGCCCTTTAAAAGTTAATTCATTTTGCTTTTATTCGATTACAGGTGTTTTATCGCTCAAAACCCAACATTTTGCTACCAACCAGGGCTTCATCAGGGGTTGTGTTTGTGACTGTGATTCCCACCAGATGTAGAGGTGGGTGGTGATGTTCCCTTATGCGATAATAAACCAGCGGAACAGAGGAAATGCATGTGGGATAGTTATATTTGGAGTGGGACCCGTGCTCATGTTGTTGATTCTGATTAATTATACGTTTCGACTTTTCTAATTCTGACCTTGGAGGCTTCTTTAATATCACAGAAGTGTAATTAATCAAACCGTAATCAAATCAAGATCCAATAGTTTGAAACGGTCAGAGGAAAAATGAAACGCTCGAGCCAATCCTGTGACAGTAAAGCAGGGACTAATTCAGATTTAGGAGGAGTAAATTTGACTGATCCTTCTGTCCTGTTTACGACCGAACGCCACATTTAAATCCGTTCATTTAATAAATAACTGAATCGATAATAGAACAGAAGAGATTTATTTTGTCATATCGCTCAGGCCCAGTTTCAAATCTTTTTTATATAACAATAGATATGACTGAATACTTCAAATATAAAATTGTGCACTTCTCCCCTAACAACGCTTCGTGATTTGGACTCAGCTGTGGTTCTGCCGTGTCCCAGGTGCATTCGCTCTCCTGTCACCGTCGCACCCCCCCTTCCTCCCTTCATCCCTTCCCGTCCACCCCGTCCTCCCTCCCTCCCCTCGTCCACGTCCTCCGTCAACCTGAACTGCACTGGCGTCAGAGCCCACTGAGTCATCCCACAGAGGCTTTTATTCTGAAGGGCTGCTTAATTATGGGTCAAAACGCCGTGGACCGCGGACGGGTTAACACGCAGTCCGGTGCTGATGGATAGGCGCGCAGATGCTGGCGGGCTTTGGGCGGCTCTGATCAGCGCATGATGAATGGGGCTGGGTAGAATATGGCTACACAACAGCAGCGCATAGGCTAATTTGTGATCAAGCGCCAAATAAAGCGAAGTCAGACTCAATTATAAAGAAGTAGTGGGAACAGGCAAAGGACAAATCAGGATAATGGGACTAAAGGAGGACTGGAGAGCAAAACACAACTCTGGGCTGAAGAAGAAAAGTAACTCTTATCTCCAATAGTAAAATTATTAAATGGATCAGTTTGATTTAAGTTGCGGGTTGGATTCCATTGCTGTGTGAAGTCTTTTGGTGTGGTGTAAGGTCACTCAGTTATGTTGCCATCATATTGTCCTGCGTTGAAACCACAGCAAGATGAATTCTCAGGATATTATTGCAATTGGGCCCGGGCAGCCAGTGCTTCTGAGCCTGGACCAATCACAGAGCAGCTTTGTGGTTTGGGGAGATGCCAAAGGTGAAGCGGTTAAACCAATCAAACCAAACAAAAACAAACATGGCAATATGAGCTATTTTGTTTCTGAAAAATGTGCAGAGGTAAGTGCTTTATGCATTTGTGGACAGAGAAGATGTCTGTGCTTTTTTTCTCTCAACTGGATTTAACAGAAAAATGATTTCTTGCTGTGTTCTGCTGTTGTGACACTTAAACCCATCAGCTTGAAATATTCATCTGAATATTTGTTTGCAATGGACACTTTCAGTCACTGCACGTTGATAATGTGGGGAACTCAATTCAGACAATTGCACATTTCAGTCTGATGTTAACAAGGATGTAGGTTTGCATAGGGACAGTGGGGACATGTCACAACCAAGAAGAAGACAAAATAGTATTTAAATAAAGAAAAATATACATTTATTCTGATATTTTTCCAGACTCAATAGTATTAATTTAACATGTTTTAGTCCACATTTTGTTTATTAGATGGTCTGAGATATATTCAGTGATATGACGACAGGGTTACACCTGCCGCTGTTTCATTGGCTGTTGACAGAGTGATGTCATTAGTGGAGCCAGGAGCCTAAACTGGGGAAGTGGCAGGACAGGGCCAGCACCTGAAGATGGCGGCTTGAGCAGGCATGCACACCAAACTTTAAAAAACTATTCAAAAGCAACTTACTTGGCTTTATCTTCAGTTAAACTTGTCTTATAATGAGTCGCCATGGAAAAAGTGAAACTATCACCACAAGTTCACCTCCCAAATGGAGCTCTACTCCTGCTCTGTTTGCAGCCCGACTCTACTGACAATATTCCATGGAAAAATGTCTAGACATGACCTCACAAATATCTCATCACCAACAAGCAAAGGGAAATCTGCTACAAACTTCTACATCGCTGTTATCTGGTAAAGAATCATCTTAGAAGTTCAATGGACACAAACTGTACATTTTGTGAACTGAAAAATGAAACCAACATCACTTATTTTGGACCTGCCCAGACTCTGTGTGTTTTTGGAAAGAATTCATCAAACATATACACAACTTCTTATCCCATTTTCCCCTTCCTTATAAAGATGTGCTGTTTGGTTTTTGCAGTGTGCATCATATGAAAAGTCAACAATATTATATAATGAATCTGTTAATCAAATAACCTATCAGTTGGTTTCATGGTGGGTTATCTGATAATGTCCCCACAAAAGCTGAGACCAAACCTACTCCCTTGGATGTTAGGCAGTTTGATTGAAGGATGGGTAAAATGTACACATTTTATATTATTAACAATGGTCATCTTTCTCATATAAACCACAGCTTTATTATCCTTCTCTCCTTCTCCAAGGCAGCTCTACATTTTCTTAGAAATGATGGATTGTAGTATATGGTCCATGAGTCAAAATGTCCTGGGATCATTCATTATAATCATTATACTACACATGCTCCCTAGCAACCAAGATTCACCTTTTCTCTTCTTCATAATGACATGATGGACTATGACCGTAATAGAAATAGGTACATCAATCCAAAAATAGACACATAGTAAATTAAACACCATATGTTCAGTCAGAACATATGAGTCCATGACAGTGATTTCACACGTTGTTAAGAACACTCATGAACACCTCTGAACAGGACTTGACCTTTGTGTGACAAACACATGATGCACTGAGCAGCACCACGCACATGTTCGCGTCACTGGTCGTTTACTAGAACATGCACGGGAGTGTAGTCAGTGTAGTCACTTACATTTCAAACACAAACTCAATACTGAGGCAAGTGTCATTACACAAAAAAACATTTCAGTCGTCATTCTGGAGAATATAGTCCATTCATAAAAGTATGAAATGAATCAAAATGACAGAACACAACATAAAACATAAATATGGACCATTTATGTTTTATGTGCTACTTGAACCTCAGCAAGACTATTTTTGTTCTGTTTAGGTGATATGTTGATATGTTCAGGTTAGTACTTCTGCTTGGTTCTGCTCAGTAAACGTAGAATAACATGCGTCCTTAGTGTCTCCACAAACCTGATGCTTATTTTCAGGTTTGTGTTTTCATGGAAATGTTCCTTTGGCTATAATATTCCACAGTATAGCATGGCATCAAACTTAGCTTTGTCTGTGAGTTTCCATGGTGATGTGTCACCTCCAGAAAGTTACATGATGTTGCTTTAACATACAGTTAAGTGTAGCCTTCACTCCAGAACAGCATCATCTCATCACATTTGAACTAAGCTCATAGGAGAACACCACCCAGAGTACACCACTCCCCCCTCTCTCTCTCTTTCTCTCCCTCTCTGTTTCTCTCTCCATCTCCCTCTCTCTCTCCATCTCTCTCTCTGTTTCTCTCTCCATCTCTCTCTCTGTTTCTCTCTCCATCTCCCTCTCTCTCTCCATCGCTCTCTCTCTGTTTCTCTCTCCATCACTCTCTCTCTGTTTCTCTCTCCATCTCTCTCTCTGTTTCTCTCTCCATCACTCTCTCTCTGTTTCTCTCTCCATCTCCCTCTCTCTCTCCATCGCTCTCTCTCTGTTTCTCTCTCCATCACTCTCTCTCATTCTCTCTCCATCTCTCTCCTCTCTCTCTGTTTCTCTCTCCATCTCCCCTCTCTCTCCATCGCTCTCTCTCTGTTCTCTCTCTCCATCTCACTCTCTCTCTCTTTCTCTCTCCATCTCTCTCTCTCTGTTTTCTCTCTCCATCTCCTCTCTCTCCATCTCTCTCTCTCTCTGTTTCTCTCTCCATCACTCTCTCTCTATTTCTCTCTCCATCTCTCTCTCTGTTTCTCTCTCCATCTCCCTCTCTCTCTCCATCGCTCTCTCTCTGTTTCTCTCTCCATCTCCCTCTCTCTCTCCATCTCTCTCTCTCTGTTTCTCTCTCCATCTCCCTCCCTCTCTCCATCGCTCTCTCTCTGTTTCTCTCTCCATCTCCCTCTCTCTCTTTCTCTCCCTCTCTGTTCTCTCTCTAATTCTTTCGCTCTATTTCTCTCTCCATCTCTCTCTCCCTGTTTCTCTCTCCATCTCCCTCTCTCTCTCCATCTCTCTCTCTCTGTTTCTCTCTCCATCTCCCTCTCTCTCTCCATCGCTCTCTCTCTGTTTCTCTCTCCATCTCCCTCTCTCTCTTTCTCTCCCTCTCTGTTTCTCTCTCTAATTCTTTCGCTCTATTTCTCTCTCCATCTCTCTCCGTTTCTCTCCATCTCCTCTCTCTCTCCATCGCTCTCTCTCTGTTTCTCTCTCCATCTCCCTCTCTCTCTTTCTCTCTCTCTCTGTTTCTCTCCCTATTTCTCTCTCTCTATTTTTTTCTCTGTTTCTCTCTCCATCTCACTTTCCCTATCTGTTTCTCTCTCTCTCTGTTTCTCTCTAATTCTCTCTCCATCTCCCTCCCTCTCTCTTCATCTCCCCCACTCTCTCTCCATCTCTCTCTCTCTGTTTTTCTCTCCATCTCTCTCTCTCTGTTTCTCTCCATCTCTCTCTCCATCTCCCCCACTCTCCCTCCATCTCTCTCCCTCTGTTTCTCTCTCCATCTCGCTTTCCCTCTCTATTTCTCTCTCCATCTCCCCCCCTCTCTCTCTCCATCTCTCTCCCTCTGTTTCTCTCCCTCTGTTTCTCTCTCTCTATTTCTCTCTCCATCTCTCCCCCTCTGTCTCTCTCTCCATCTCTGTTTCCCTCCCTCTGTTTCTCTCTCTTTTGTGTGCCTGGTGTGTGTGAGCTGCTGGAGGACCACAGGACCACAGTGGAGGCATTTTGTCTTCTGACACCTCTGTCCTCTCAGGGATGTCAGCCACAAAGAAGAAGAACTTTTCCATCCTGTCCTCCAAAGTCCTCCACAGAGCCGAGCTGTCCGGTGTCCCAGAGTCCAGGTGGTCGGGGGTGTTGGCCTCAGGTTCTTCTCCGCGAGGCTGCTGGAGGTCCCTGTACCGCCCCCTGTAGAGAAACACTGGAACACCTGTGGCTGTCCTTCCTCGGCTCACTCCCCTCTTTACCCTCTTGGGACACTGGCTTCACACTCTGGGCCAAACACTGATCCAGGAGCTCTTTGTGTTTTTCCCCAAGTTCTCTGTGGCCCAGCGCAGGACTGTGCCACTTGTAAACTTAGTCCTGGGTCAGGCACAAATGAGTGTGTGGCTCCGCAGGAGGAACCACATGGCCGGCTCAGGATGTACACACTCTGAACTCCTGTTGAAGAGACTGGTGGGGGCGCGACTCCAGATGGAGATGGTGTACAGTGCACTGGTGGGGCAGGTGGAGGACTTTGAGGCACTGGTGGGGCAGGTGGAGGACTTTGAGGCACTGGTGGGGCAGGTGGAGGACTTTGAAGGACTTTGAGACACTGGTGGGGCAGGTGGAGGACTTTGAGGCACTGGTGGGGCAGGTGGAGGACTTTGAGGCACTGGTGGGGCAGGTGGAGGACTTTGAGGCACTGGTGGGGCAGGTGGAGGACTTTG